TCTCTTAAATTAATTTTAGTTTGGTCCTTTAGTCCTGTAATAACATTTCAGAATATTTTCGAGCTGTTTGAAATAAATTGTCTACTGTGGTTCTTGATTAAACCTTTCCTTTTTATGTAATGCTATTATTAGCATTTCTAATTGATTCTCACATGTGTAGCTTGTAAGCCCACTTTCTCTCCCCAAGCTCGGGTAGAGACCTTTTTCGATAGCTTAAAAACTATCGATGTCGTGAATCATCAGTGTGAGTCAGTGATCCATGATGGCGTCCTCCATTGTCCCTGATTTTATTGACGACTAGTCTACTCCTACTCCTTAGGACTTCAACAAGTGCCAGTGTTAATGACATTGCAGATGATTCAAGATCAGACTCAAGCTTTGAAAGTTGTTCGAAATGTTGCCCATGTTGTTTGTTTTTCTATTTCTTTTGGATGTTGTTGTTTTCTTCCCTTAGTGTTGGACCGGTCTTTTCTTCTGATTTATTTGGGTTCTGCTCAAATTAACTATGTATGATAGGCCGGCCTTTTATATATAATTGTTTTACTTAGTTGAAATATAGTCATCATTTACTTAAAAAAAGAAAAATTGATTCTCACATATTAAGAAATAACAGTTAAGTCGTCGAACTTGTTTTAAATTGATAAACTTTGTCAACGTTACCTTGTTTTTAAAAAAAGTGATTTATTTTTTTCCAAATTTAAATATCAATTAATAATAAGAGTAAATGAGAGAAATAACTAATAAGACTGTTAGTGACTTATATTTGAGACCAAATGCTCATGAGGTGGTCTGTAATTTAGACAAAAGGAAGCAACAAATAAAGGGCCTGTTTGTTTTTGTTTTTTGTTTTCTTATTGTCAAAACAATTTTATAAAATTGTTTTTAAGAACAAGTTTTGGAAACAAGAAACAAAAAAAATTGCTTGGAAAATAATTTTTAAAAAATCACATTTGAAGAAAATATATAAAAAAATTACACTTTAAACAGTGATAGTTATCACCGGTAGTGATAAGTAGTAGATAGTAGAGGAGAAAAGAGAAAATTTCTCCAATTTTTCAAAATAAAAAAAAATAAAAAACACAAAAACAAAAACAAAAAAACATATAAAAGTTGTTTTGGTTTTTCAATTTTTAAAAACATATTATTGTTTTTTTGTTTTTTAAAACCATCAACTAAACATAAATTACCAAACAAGTTTTTAATTGTTTTCAAAACAAGAAACCAAACAATAATTTTTTGAGTTTTATATTGATAATAAATCAATTGTATTCAATCATTTTATTTTTTAAAAAAATTATTTTATATTTTGTGGCAATTTACATGTTGCTTAATTAGCATCTACATTAATCTTAATTAACAGATAATGACAATAAAAATTAATGCTTATAATTGAGAAAATTGTACGGTTTCAATTAAAAGAGGTTAAAAAGTAAAGGGAGCTAGGGACCTCACAGAAAAACTCATGAAACTATAAGAAGTCAGGAATTAATTTTTCTCATTTTTAAAACTTTCAATAAGATTTTGGGAAAATTACAATTAAGTTCTAAAAAAAAAATAATTATTAAAAGATCTCAATAACAACTGAAGGCTAAATTATATAAAACCCCCCTGAACTATAGGTCAGTTGCATATAACTTTCCTGACATTCTAAAGTTTAAATTTAACTTCCCTAACCTTTTATTTTTTTTCAACACAAGCCCTTCCTTTTTAACAGAGATGGTCAAGTCAGATTAATAGAAGACATGTGACACCTCATATGACATCCTACATGGCATTTGATAATTTTATACTAATTATATATTTTTCACATAAGGACTAAAATGTCATTTTATCATTAAGGGGGTGTTTGGGTTCCAACCCAAACCATGGTTTGGGAAAAAATCACCCAAACACTCTTAAAAAAACCAAAACCATGGTTTTGAGTCAAAACCATGGGGGTGTTTGGATGGAAACTAAGGGGGTGTTTGGCAATATGAAAATCATGGTTTCAGAAGCACTTTTCCGAAACGAGGCAAACTCCTCCACATATTTACTTCGTAAACCGTAAAAGCACTTCTGAAACCATGGTTTGGTTTCTATCCAAACACCTCCTAAATCATGGTTTCAGAAGTGCTTTTACGGTTTACGTTTATCTCGTTTTGCGAAAAAATGTTTCTGAGAAGCACTTTTAGAGGTTGCCAAACACCCCTATGGTTTTGGGAAAAACAAAATTTTTTTGCTTTTGGAAAAAAAAAAGAGAGTGTGAGAGCTTATAGGATATGTATCTTGTTGTTTTTTTTATAAACATATGTTTTATAAATATATTTAATCTTATATCTTATAAATATATATACATATTAATTATTTATTAATTATATTATCTTATGTATTATTAATTATGTTAATAAAAAATATATTATTAACAATTTTATTCCTTCAAATTAAAATATATCATAAAATATATTTTTTCTGTAATTATCATATTAACTTATACTTTTTTTAGTAATTTATACATGTAAAAAGTGCTTCTAGTAACAACTATCCAAACACTCTCTAAAATAAACCCTCCTTCTCCTGGTTTCTCACGACAACCCCATTATTGTCCACAAGAAGGAAATTGAGCCCATTCCTCCTCTGGATCACAACTCAATTGAGTACGAGCCCTTTAACATGGATTTTTACGAGGAGAAACCTTCAATATCAGGTAATGACAAAAACACTTACATTGCCAAAACTCATGATTGGATTTAAAAATCAGTCGCTTAAATTTACTCGCACATATCGTTCGTTGTCTTCCTTAAATTAAATTTCTTTATGCCTCTTTTCATTTCGGACTTAAAAAGCAGAGGATGAAATTTTTGTTCCATTTACACATCAGATAAGTTATTGACTATATGGAGGTTTTTTGGAATAAAGTATAGCTTAGCTTAATTACAATTATTGCTTCGGTCATATTTATCGTCCCCATTGAATTTATTTGCGTTAATTGGAATTGCATGTTCCTGAATACAGGAAGAGTTCGGCCATTCGCACATCAGTTTTGATGTTCTGAAGCCCATTAAGACATTTGAAGACGGCGACGATACACCAGGAGAAGAAGGGTTTATTTTGATGATAAATGACAGTTTAATCCTCCTATGTAAAAAACATATAATTAATACTCCTCCGGTCCTAATTATAAGATCCAATTGACTTATTTGAGGAGATTAAGGAAGTAAGTTAAGTTGGTTATTTATAATAAATAAGTGTTGTCATTCCTAAAATATCCTTGCTAATTAAGTATATTGGCTAAAACTATCATTATTAGAAGGATTATCTTGGAAAAAAATACATAAATATAAGAGATAAAATGGATCGGGGTCTTATAATTAGGACCAAATAAAAAGTCAAATTGGGTCTTATAATAAGGACCGGAGGAGTATAAAACTATCAAATGCCATGTAGGATGCCATATAAGCGCCACATGTCTTTTATTAATCTGACATGACAATTTCCATTAAAAAGATAATGATATTAGGGATGTTAAATTTAAACTTAAAATGTCAAGGAGGTTATATGCAACTGACTCATAATTCAGGGTCGTTTTATATAATTTAGCCACAACTGAATAGCTTATAATGATGAGTTTTGAAATAGAGAGTGACAACTTAGATTTATTTTATAATTTTTTTGGGATTTTATTGTAATTTATCCTTAGATTTTTGGGGCCGAACTTTAACGTTGTTCCAGGAAAGAAAGTGCTAGTCTACATGCTGACAAAGACAAAGGAAAAGCACGAAGACGAATAAAATAAAGGAAAGCAGAAAGCTGGCAAGAACTTCCAGGATTAGGGCCCCAGAATTGGGAAAAAAAATTATTTAAAAACACTTAATTTTTTTGAAAAATATTTAATAAATATCTTAATACCATATATTTTATTATTAAATATAGTTATAGTTTTATAATACTTTCAATTAAGCTTAAAAATTTGAACGATTGAATGTAATTTGTCTTCCCACTCCCACTATATGCACAACTTTAGAAGCCATTTGAAATGGAGTTCATTTATGATTTTTTTTTTTTTGAGTAAGAGGATTTAAATTTAATCTTTTTGTGTTTGAATAAAATCATATTGAAAATATTATCAACTTGACTCAAAATTAGATGAGTCGGTAATATTATCAGTAATGACGACAATCATATAATAGACAATTAAGGGCGTGCATAAACCAGCCCTAGATGATATATTTTTATAAAACACCATTCCCTTCTTTTTTTTCTATTTAATTATTTTTGACGTTAATTTAAAAAAAAAAAGGACAAACATGTGAAATATATATTAGATAAAAGACCAACGTTAATTCTCAAATCATGTTCTACATGAGGGACAAAAAGAGTACTAGCACTAGATAAGCCAGGTGGGCCAGTCGAATAAAAAAAATCAAATTAAAGAACTTATAGTATACCCAAAAAAAAAATCAAATTTTTAAAATTAATCATCCTAATCATTGGACTATCTTTAATCTGAAATCAAATTGAAATGACAATTAAGACCCCCCAAGAAAATTAATACCAATTAAGTCCTAGGAAATGATTTTATTGCATGTATTTCTGGTAAAAATTAGTGTCCATGATCTGCATCAAATGAAGTGATTCGGTGGCCAATCTAAGGATAGCCATGTTATATTTTATCCCAGGAAAAAACAAAAAAAGGGGAGACAGGCCATGTCATTGGATTATAGCACCGACTTACATAGGGATAAGTTTTCCGTTCCCTGTGTATAGTCCTCTGTTCTCATTTCAGATCCCAACAAATTGCATTGTCCTTCTTCTTCGCGGTTCTAGTGACATCTCATCAATCTTCTCCCGTTTCAGATCCCAACAACGTTTAAAGTTGAAAAGGCCTTAAATTTAAAGTTAACGAGGGTTTATGGGTTTTCGTTGATTTTGTTGAAACAAAAACCAGAAAAGAATATTTTTTTGTAATAAAAATTCAGGAGTTAGGCAAATTATGTAGAGAAACTTAGCCATCAACTAGTGAGTATTTGAAAATACCTCATCATTCATAAGAATTCATCGAAACAGATTTGCTGACATGAATTTAAGCAATACCAAAGTAAGAATGGCTATTTAAGCCAATTCAAGCAAGCCAAACCAAGCAGTTTTCTTCTTTTAACAAAAAGAAATAAAAGGGACCATGGTTAAACTGTGCAAGTAGGATGCAGAAGATGACAGAATCTTGACTATGCTAATTGTCACTGAAAACATGAAACCAATTATTACAACATCATACACATAGATATATATATTAATTACAGCAGCAGCATTTAAGATAACCATGAGCAACCTTCTATTGGTATTTATTACAATATCATATACTTGGATCTAGCCAAGTTGAAAATGAACTTTGGTTCTCATGCTGGATGATGAGTGGAAAAACCAAAAAACAGCCAAATTCAGAACAGAAAGATGAAGGAAGTAAAGATCATCATAAGAGATGCTAGAATTGGCACAAGAAGCCTTCCTCCTTCATTATAAGGCACATAAGTGTAAGGTCTTGGAGGTGCATAAATGTAAGTGTTTGGAGGCGCATAAGTGTAATAAGGGTATGGAGGGTTGCAGCACTGAACCTGTGGAGCAGCAGGAGGGCACTTTGTCTGCCCTGGGTCTTTGTGTGGTGGCGGCGGTGCTCCATAAATGGAGTAGCCGGACGATGGCGGTGGATATCCATAAGAAGGGTAGCCAGAAAGTGGGGGATCTGGTGGAGGAAGCTGCTGACATGGAGGCACACACTTGGGTGGAACTGAATCATCCCCAGAAACTTCACACACTGAGAAAAGCAGTGCTGCTGCAACAAGAAGATACCTGGCAGGAGACATTTTTCTCACGAGGGGTTCTTCTTTCAAAGCTGGAGAAGTTAGCACTTTGAAAGAAGGAAGAAGGGCGATTAAAAAAGGAGAATTGGAATGATGGGGATGAAATAAAAAGTAAAGCGAACGTTTACTCGTCAAAGAGCTTTATGGGCAAGGAGAGTGTTCTAGAAACTAAGTCAGGACAGATTTATATACAGTTTGCTGATATGGTGCCGCAAGGCACAACATCTGTCACCATAGTATTTAAGTAGCTCATCACAAATTTCAACGACCGGTCTCTGTGATGAAGCTTTGGAGATACAGACACTTATAGAAAATGTTTTATACGCATCAAATATAATGGAAATAAAGTTAATTGTTAACTGCTGTCTCCATGTCTATTTGAGATGTTTTATACCAATTTGGATAAATACAAGATGTGAAGTTAGGGAAAAATAAGTCGTAGTGCCGGATTGAGTGACTTCTAACGTTAAAAGTTCTCGAATTTACTTTCCTCAACAGCAAACTGAGTTTTGCAGTACAATTTACAAGTCGTGAATAATATAATTTACTTTGTAGACTCTGGGATTTACACGGGTTAACCGAATTTTGTTAATATCTGTTTAAGTTTAGTTGAGTATTTGAGCCTTTTATATTCAGATTTCAGAGGATAAATAGACGTGGGATATGAGTGCTTAAGTAACTTTCAACGCTGAGAGCTCATTACTCTTTCTTTTTCTCCAACTACCTGATAAGACACTGCAAATAACGCACTTATAATTTCATAACTCTTAATTTTACTCCCATTTTTTAAACACAATTCCATTTTCTAAAGGATGTTGACCTTTTGGATGTAGCAAGTAACTCATTCACTAAGCACGTTAAAAAAGCAGGAAGAAAATAACAAATTCATGTGTCAATGAAACGTCCCTTCCTAAGGAAAAAGAGAGCTTATTTGTCCATCAACGAAAGAAAGACATATCACTATCAACTTTTTATCCACGCACTGACTGGGGAAGAAGACTCAAGAGGATTTGTGGAGATCATGTGAATTTAAATATAAAAAACTCAACTGCTCATTGAAATATGAAGAAATAGGCCTTGCAGAGAATCCACCGTAGTTGCTTTGTATCTTTGCCAAGCAGAGTTCGCTTATGTATTTGAAGGGCTCGTGCTTCTGGTTAAATGGCTGAGCGGCGTATTCCTCAAACGGCATCCACTTCAATTTTGGTAAAAGGGAATAGAATTTATGTCAACAATTGAAAGCTTCAACCACTTAGGTTGCTCAAAGTAGAAAAAACTTGGAGCCCAAGTGGTGATTAGATCAAGATAATAATGTGGGTGATTAATCTTTTGGTTTGTATGATCTCAATTTTTAGTTTAGTTCTTATATTTCATTAAGGTGTCATCAGTCATGTGTTATTTTGATACATAAATCATATGAATAATAAGGTAAAATGAATTTAAATATATGATTAAGTGAATCTTTAAGCTAAGATTGAGAATGTCACAAATGCATCTAATACAGAGACAGCTCTCGATAGAATTACAAATAGATGTTAGAAAATAGCATGCAATATTGCAAATTCTGCTAAAAGGTTTGCTTGATATGTCATACACTTATATGTCCATTTCTATCTCCTTATGTTTTACATCTTGAGTCATGGCTGTAAACTTGCATCTAATTATTTTCTATTTAGACTAGCTCTGCATAGGAGATTTTCTGTAGAAGTATTGATTCTTACACGTAGATTTGCATCACTAATAATTCCCATATGACAACGTGAGAGGATCTCCTCTGCCATGGAAGGGGATAGGCTTTTTCTCTTTTTCTTTTGGGGGGGGGGGGGGAGGTATGGTCCACCTGTGTGGGTCCTTGTGGGCCCTACATCCCTCTTTCTCTTTATTACTTATTCTCCTCGACGAGGGGATTTGGATGGATTCATATAACAACAATGTAGAAACTTAGCATCAGATAATTCTAGCAAAATGCCATTGCTATTAGAATAAATTGTTCTGTTTAAACCCTTTTAAACGTATGACAACATAAAAAACAAAAAGGTTACCTGAGCTGCCTCGATCTCCAGGTCTTGTTTTCTGATGTCAAAAGAAAGAGGACGCAGCATGCAAAGAAAAAATAGATCTGATTTCCCAAAAAATTCCTCGTGTGTTTGTCTGAAAATCAGAAGCATGAAAAGTTTTGAGAACAAGAAGGTAGAAAACAGAGAACAAGATAGGATAGAAGATGTTAGATTTTCAACAACTTCAAAATGTAACTAACATGCCGCTTTTGATCCCATGTCAGGTTTATTTTCTGTTATTCTTCTAAGCAGAGTCAAGAAAACTAGAGTTTCAGTTCACAAAATGAGTAGGATATATGCAGAATGTGTAAATAAATACGAAAAGTCAAAGACAGCATATGAAATGCTTCATGTCAATTCTATAAACATGGCTCCTTTTTTATAATGATTGTACTTCAGAAATCACATCACATTTCTGAAATGTTAATAAAAGTTTGGCCTGACTAAATTTTCCAGAAGAGAACGCAAGCAATCTGGAAAAAGTGCGACATGTCATTTGCCCCTTCAAGTTAGAAAACCCGTACCTGAATGCTAGGACTTCCAAAAATTCTGTATCAATCTGAAGAAGAAAAAGATAATGATCATATGGTCGAGGCATTACATAACTTAGAAAATATCAAATCATACTTAAAGAACCTACTCCTGTCTCTTCTTTTACTTCTCTGATTGCTGCATTGAAAAGGTCCTCACCCTGCATACACCAAACCCTCTGTCATGATTCTAACGGAATAGGGGTTTAGTTTTGAGAATTAGAAGACATTCTAAGGAAAAATGTACATACAGCATCCACTACACCAGTAGGTATTTTCCATACCCCTAGTCCATGGAATCTCCCTCTCTTTTCCTGGACTACCAGTACCTACATGCACACAGGCCAAAGCAAAGACAACATTATTAATGTTATCTTCAATTTTGAGTATTTGCATGCGCACGTGCTTGCACAAATACATTTTCTTTTCAACTCTTAGATCTCCCTTGGAATAGCAGTTGGAGAAAGTGATTCAAAAAAACACCAGTATCTTCCATTTTTATTCGGCATGTGTCACAAGATTGAAGATACCGAATGAATAGTATCTACAAGAATATTATTTGACAATGGAATCTAATTCATTTTGGATGTTGGCACTATTTTTATTGCAATATTCACGGGTGCTTAGTCAATGGATGCCAGCTTAACAATGAAAACAGAGGACAGAGAGGCAAAAATTATATTACAAACCCGCATTGCTGACACTGATATGTCATAGATGAGTAGCTTATGCAGATTCAAGAAGTATTTTCATATGGAAATAGGAGAATGAAGCCACTATGAGATAATGCCTTTAAATTTTCAATAGTTTGTTCTGAACCCGATTAAATAAAGAAATTGCCTGTTATGACATAGAAGTTACCTCTTTATTGTCATTCAATACAATAGCACCAACAATGACACGATGGGAAGCATTAGGAGGGATAGTGTTGCCAGTTTCAGGAATCCAGTTAACCAGCATGAGATAGCTTGGCTCAGCATGATGAAACCAGAAACCCTCCTGCCATCAACATAACGGAGAGAATAACAAATGATTTCATCAAATATCAATAAAAAATATTGAAATTCCTTATATTTGGTTCATAAAATTAAGAGCAAATGTTCTTCCTCTTTTCAAAGGGAACTCATAAAAGGGTTTCTTTACAGTCCAATGGGACAGTAAGAAATCCTAGACCATCATCCTGATAGAGTTCAAGATGCAGGCTCTACCTGGTCCCACAGCAGTATCATGAAACCTTGTTAACTTCAGAAAATGGGGTAGTCCAAGAAGAGAAAACAAATTAGAGTGATAAAGTCATCTTGTGATGATAAAATTTGATTGAGAGCACAACAAACTTAAAGGTAGCTGGATGCTTATTTGCCTTGTACAATGCTGAAAAAACTGTGATAAATACCTTGACTGCAGTTTCAACCAGATTAACAAGCTCAATAGGTAATTTGATCCAGACACCCCCCATCCCCTGCAATATTTACTATTAGCAATTAAATTCTGAAAAGATTTCAGATTTCTTAAATTCATTACAAGGCTGGGCTATCTATTTCAGGAAAGAAGATAATAATATGAAGCATCAAAAGTCCATGTCTGTCCAGATATCACCTAAGTAAGGGAATTTCATTTGGAGCAATATCCAAAAACACCCTTAACTTGCTACCAAAAAAGGTTGGAAATAATACTTGACGCGCCATTATCTTAGAATGCAGAGTGTATTCTAGAAAGATACTTTATAAGCACGTAGTATAAATGGTGACCTCAAGAAGATGAACAATGGTATGACATCATATTCCTTTTCTCTTTTTTCCCCCTTTTTCTATAAATTTAAAAAAAAAAGGGAAAGTGGAATCCCTTTGAAGACAGAAATGACCAAACATGAGGAATTATAAATACAATGCTCGTGAGATATATAATATCTTTCATGTAGATATATTTTGTCAACTTCCCATTACTAGGATCTACTCTATGTACTTAACTAACATTCTGAAGAATTTTTCTTACATGCCTCCAACGTTTCAAATTATTCTCTTAAAGCCATGAAATCACGCATTCAGAGAGAATCCCACTCCTATCCTCTTCGTGACCGCAGAGGGTTTATATTGCGTCGCACATGATGGGATCCACATGCATCTTGTAGATACAGAGGGATGCAATAAGTGTTTCACGTACAGTACAGTTAAGATGCTTATGCTGAGAATCTCAGATCATCAAATTTACCTGGTGCTTCCATTGTAGAAGTGAAGCTCTAAGCAAGGTGACGAAAGCGTCAGGACTCATGGTCTTCTTCATCTCTACAATCACTCCTCCATGAGTATCATTGACTGCAGGGAGAATTTCTACACATTCAAAACCATTCTCACCCAAACTTCCCTCCGTTAACGGCTGAGCTGAATCTGCTGAGGCTGACATGTCCTGAGCTGCACATTAGAATTACCAAAGTGATTGCTATCGAAAAAACTACAAAAATGATTAAAAAAATTCAAGAAACAACTTAAAACATTTTGAAAGAGAACTTGGTGATTTTCCACAATTATGTCCCATTCTGTTTGTATTTATTTGGGCCCTCCTTCCCAACACTTGCAGTTTCACCAGAAACAAAGCTAACAACAAAACTTGAACAGTTGTGCTGGAATGTAAATGAAAAAGCTATACAAGTGGCAGAGACTTAATAGAAACCAACAGAAATAAATCACGAACACAGATGCTGTCCTGCATCTTTTGGGCATTCTGAATACCCTCAGGCTCCACTTTCAACTCAGTGATAGCAAAACATTTATTGAAACCACCACAGAATTCTCCTGCAAGATATGGAAAGATTTTGCACAATATTTCCCCTCATGAAACTTCACTGCACATTGAGGTTAACACTGGAACTGGGAAGAAATAAATCATAGCATTTCTGTCTCAAGCAAAGCCACAAACAACTTCAAGGCATCACCAAGAAACCAAGTGAAGATTGCAGAAGATGAAATTACCTCACAGGGTTCAACGGAAGGGAAGCTTGGGAATGAGCAAAATGGTTAGTGGAAGTCCAGAAGCTGAGGGAGATGGGGTTGCAATATATAACGAGCATGGGGGATGAACAAGAGTGCATATTGACGTAGTTCCACTTCAGGTGTTGCTGATACGCGGCGCAGTCCCCAACACTGTAAACTTGCAGAGTTAAAAGCTAATCATATTACTACTAATTTGTAGGGTGATAAATAATTAATTCGCTAGAAGCTTTTGGAATAAACAATAGAACCTGTAATCGAAAGGGTATATCTTATCTTAATTCTCACGCAATAAACAAAGCTAAAATCAAGAACTAGTTAATAAAATATCCAAGATACCTCATTGATACAAACGTATTCCTAATAGCAAAAGCAAAAATCTGTTCATCCCACTGTGTGATTAAGCAGCCGCCCAAATCGGGTGGGATTAGGAAAACGTGGAGGCAGCCTAAGTTGGACATATGGAGACCAAGTCAACGGGCAGAGCTGCCTTTTCTTCATGGTGCACTCCCTTCAATCATATTTATGAGCAACAACTAACCAAATTACTTGTATCACAGTATTGGTGAAAATTAATTAAAAGCAATAAATGTGCAAGAGATATACTTTTTCCAGATACACCCTTATTTATTATAATGATGAGTGTGAGAGAATAAATAGGTAAGGGAGATGGGAGTAACATGTAATTAATTGGGGTTAGAAATGGAAAAATACGTTATATTTTCAAACAAACACAAAGTATTGCTTATACATGAAACCAACCCTATGTAAGAAAATGTTGCTTATGTATAAGACCAAAGAGAGTAGTAAGGTTGAGAAAGTCTTAAGAATGCAAAAAAGGTATACACACACTATCTTCTGTCTTTAGTATGAGAATAAGTTAGAAATTAGATTTGATATCAAATATAAGATATTAATATACTTTTCCTTCTAAAATTTATAATTAATTTTCTAAAATACCTCTATTGATTACGCGTCTACTGATTACACGTATTAAGAGAGTCTCCGTTTAAATGTAGCAATTATTGAAAAAATATTTTAGAAAAATCAACTCATATTTGTTAAAAATAACTAATTTAAATAACTTTTTTAATTTATCTAAATTAGTACTCTTATATTAAGGACTAAAGATAGCACGCGCACATGCACACATATATCTATAGCTAGATTAGAATAGAAAGTATGTGTGAAAAGAAATGCTCAAATGCATGCGGTAAAAGAACCGACAAATATTAAATGAATCTAAACTTTGGAGCACAAAGTGGTCGATTTTCAAATGCGTTCATTATAAGCAAAAGAGAAAAGTTGAAAATTGTCGGCATCAAACCCGCGACCTTTCACATATAGTAATACAAATGATAGTAAGCTATGAAGTCATTGGCGAGATAAGCTGGTTTTTATGGAAAGAATGCAAAATATCTTTATTTTATTTCAAAAATTTTTTTAAAGAAATATGCTCTCCGATGCTAAATATAAAACCTATTTTGTAGTGTAAATTACATAGAAGTTTTGAGTTCTATAAGGTGACGAAAACATGCGAGTTATCTTATTAGTCAACAATGAGCTGAGATATAAACGATCATATTCTTATGAGCTGTAGGTCACATTCTTATGATATGGACATATTTATTTGGGGGGGGGGGGGATGGATCAAACGTAACATTTATGCCTTTATTAAAAAAATGGAAAAGATAAATACTATTAAATATTAAATAATTATTAAAAACAATACAATAAAATTTTGTTGTATTCTTTTTTTCCCCTCTAATTCTTCTCTTACAAATAACAAATATGCCATGCTTGTGAAAAAAGTTGAGTAATTTTCATAAGTTAAAATATCAAAATAAAATTTTCGAAGAAAAGTAAGAATCATATTAATTTGATATGTTGGCAAAAAATATTAAATTTGATATATTTCATTCTTGCTGACTAGTTAAATTTGATATCAACCAACCACATTAAAAGGAAAAATCTACCGCCCTTTTCCCTTTAAAGAATGGTCATAATATATGAATGACTATAAAATTATATAATTTTCAACTTCTAACAACTTAAGTTGAATTTCTTGGTAGTTATTTAGGCAAGAAAAAGACCCTTTGAAAAATTAGTTTGAATTCAAACTAATTTTTCAATTTAAATATTGCAAAGTATATGTTTCTATATATATGTGTGAATCTTAATGTATATAATTCATATATTTATTATCTTTTCTTTTAAATATTTGTTTATAACGATACCTTTTAAACACGAGAATTTTCCAATTTTTAAATCTTCTAATTCTTTAGATACCACGGTATTCAATAATATTTAACGACTAATAATTTTGCTTTAGAAATCATGTTCAAGGATCCGATATTATTCACATATATATGATCCAGTAATATAAACTACTTATAATTAATTTATAGGTATTAAGAGAATTATATAAGTTAGTTATTTATTAAAAAAAAATATATGATAGTTTTCTTAAAATGCTCCTTTCGATCATTTTTACCTTCGATGATATTCTTTTGCAGATTTTGTAGCCAAAATTAGTTAAGGTCATATATTAAGGACGGAAACAAATTTATCTGCTAACTCTTACATTTATTCCTTGCTCGGATAGAGAGAAAATGAGGGAGGAAAGAAAACTAGCGAAAAAAATGAGGAAAGAAATGAGTTTCTTTTTGTTTGGATAAGAAGAGAAAAGTGAGAAGAAAGAAAAGTATAAGAAAAAATGGGATGTAGGGCCACGTCATTTTCTCTCCAACTTTTCTTTCCACATATGCAAAGAAAATGAGAAGAAAACTCAGATTTCTTGTATAACCCCCTCATATTAAGTGAATAAATGCATATTTTACTTTTAATGTAATTTTTTTAATTTTATTTATGGCTACTTTATAATTTAACAAAATTATTTCACTACAGCCAAATTCCAAACTAACATATAAACTATATTTTTTCACATTCAATGTAATACTTGGAATTCGTTATAACCATGCACACCTATACACATATATTTCTCCATCTCTTTCAACTTTTACAATAAATTTTTACTATTTAAGAATAATTTTAAAAAATATATTATTTATTTATTTTATTTTATTATATTTAATTAAAAAAAATCCCCTTTTTTTTCTATTAAAAATAACATTTTTACTAAAATATCTGCTTTTTAAATATAATAATATGATAATATATTTTTATTGATTATTTTTATTTTAAATTATTTGATAATATTAATGTTCATATAATTTTTTTATTATGATATTTAATTTGGTTTTAAACATAATATATTTTGAGATAAGAATATTTTAGTTATTTATATATTTAATTATTTTCTTTCTTCTCTATTTTCTCTCTTGTATCCAAATACGATAGGTAATAATATTTTCTCTTCAGTTTTCTCTCCTCTCTTTTTCTTTCCTCCCAACTTTTCTTCCCGTCAAACAAAGTATTAGAGTAAGAGTAATACAATCAACAATAATAGCAAACAATCTCATCCTATTAAGCAAGGTTAATTACATGAATCACATGATATTACTATATTTCCATCAACAACCAACTTCTCATGTATTACCAATAGGCTTCATTTCATAATCTCGTCTCAAAATTAGAGACGATGTTTTACTAGTTTTCGTTCTATAGGCCAATATATTTTAAAATAGATTATTCTTTCACTTCTAAATACCACCTTTTGTCATTAATATAAGAGCTAATTTGATACTTAATTTGATCCTAAATATAAGATCCCGATCTATTTTATTTCTCATATTAGTTGATTTTTTTAAAGTAATCCTTGTAATAGTTACATATGTTAAATGTTTCACCAGCTGGTAGCTCTAGCTAATATATTGATTAGCAAATCTATTTTAGGAAAGATAATATTTATTTATTACAAATAACTAACTTAACAAACTTTTTTAATTTGCTTAAATTAGTCAATTAGCTCTTATATTAAAGACCAAAAATAGTATAAGAGTTAGTTAAAAGGTTTATTTTGGTTCTAAATATATGATTTCAATCTATTTTACCTCTCAAGTCTACGCTTTTTTCAAACTATCCATATTGATAGCATATGTTAAGATGATAGTTTCAATATAAATAACTTAAAAAAGATTTTGGGGAAACCATCACATTAAAAAAAAAAGTAATTAATTTAACTAATTTTTATTTTTTAAAAAATTAATTAGGGTTAATATTGTTATTGGTCCTTATAATTTGATCTAATTTTTATAAAAACTTGGTTTGAGTTCAAGGGTATAAATCAAAATCAATACCAGTCATCCATGAAACTCAAGTTAAATCCTTATGAAACTATATGAATCAGAATGAACAATTTAAAATTACAGAATCAAAACCAAAATTTAATCAATAACTATAAAGATTGATAATGATATTGATCCAATTAATTATCTAATTTTTATATTATAGATTGGACAAAATAATAATTTTGGTTTTAAGAAAAGGCTGCAAATTTCATACGCAAAGTCAATGCTAAGGAATTACAATTGTGTGGGTCAAGGCACTATGAAGTGACCCTAAGAAAGTGGACCAACTGTGGAGCTATCAACTTGCTTCAATTTTCCTTCTATCTCAATCATTACTCCTCACACCACCGTCTCATTTGTAGACACAAAACGTGTTTAATCGAGCTTTCCCATTTAATTTAACCCTTATATACATTATGGAGTTTGTGATTAATTAAGTGCGTTGCTCATAGCCTCTTTTGTGTTTGTGTGTGTGTGTGTGGGCAGTCAATAACACGACAATTGACTGAAATTCAGCGTATCAATTCATTTTTTTAATAATATGAATTTAGAAAATAATTCAACATAAAATTATTTAGAGATATTTTTCTTGTTTAATTAGAGTTTCGGTTATACATAGCTTTTTTTAATTTGACAGACACATTATCCCCACATTATATAAACACTAGTACATGATCCCTCCATTATACTCCTCCAATCCTTAATACAGCACCTAGTTGTTGAGTTGGTTTTGGTCCTAAATACAAGACCTATTTTTCATATTTATTAATTTTTTCCAAATTACCCCTATGATACTCCATCAACCATAATCAAGTGAAGATAATTATGTTGTTTTAGAAAAAAAAAAGTCTGTTTCTTATAATTAACTAATTTATTTAACTTTTTTAATCTAATCAAATTAGTTAAATAGGTCTTATATTAAGGATCACAAAAGTATATTCTAGCGTGTTTGTTTAGATGGTTGTATAAAAAACCCGGTCTAGGAAATGATAAATATTATTTTGTTATTATTTTTAATATGTAAAAAGCTCTTGGGCTGATTATGAAGAACACTAGTGTTAGAAATATATCAAACATATATTTTAAATATTGTTTTTTAAAATTATTTTTACTGCTTTCTAGGCCAGTTTTAAGAACAAGCGATGTCGAAATTATCTTTTAGAAATCATGTCTGTAGAATTGGTCTAAACAGGGAAATTAAGTTAACTTACTTTGTACTAGTGAAAATTCGAAATAAGTCATACTGTTAATATACCTTACCCAATGTTAAGCGTTAAAAGTTCAAACTTTGTGGATGAAAAACTCAAACTGAAGAATTATTTTGATTTAAAATTGACAATACTTGAGTATGGCATGATAGTATCAAACTATATATAAGAGAATTAAATATGACTTATTAAAAATCTTATTATAATTTTTTTTGGACCGAACAAACTTTATTATAATATTAATATCTATAATATATTGATGATAAATATACTCTTACTCTATAAATACACACACACACACACACACAAAACAAAGCGCGTCTTCTCCGAATCACGAAGCCTAACACAGTTGGCATGAGGAATTGAGGATTGGTTTATCGGCAGTGGATACGTGGGCAACCCCAAAAAAAAAAAAAAAAGTGCGTCCCCCTTTCCCTAAGCACACGTTAGGTTTATGACCATACAATGTTCATTCATAAACACATGCACTAAGTGCATTAGTTTAATGTCTTTTGCGCCACTCATCCATTAATTGATTGGTTTATTTAAATCATATAGTTTTTTTTTTCAAATTTTCATCATGATGCATATATTTTAATTCAATATATTAAATGGATGGGGAATCTCACTTGCCAGCTATAATATGAGCATTACCACGTGAGACACAAGTCAATGATATTTGGTTTTTCTTATATATAATCTTAATTAGCAAACATTAAGGTTTGCCTACTGTGTCAAAATATATAAAAACACATATATATGATCTCATCAATATATAATGATCTTGCTTTGTTGGTGGTTATGGAGATTTTGATCCCTTATATTACAATTTCAATTCTCTCCCCCTCCGGTCTGTGTAACAGCAATGACATATTAGTGCTTCCTTCAATAGTAAATATAAGAGCTAAATAACTACCTTTCAGAGATTAAGAAATTAATTAAATTAATTATTCTTGAAAAAGTATGTACTGTTTTTCTAGAATAATCTCTTTAATTTATATAAGATGTGAAATCTATTAAAAAATTGCACTGTTTATAATTTATTAATAATGCAGTCCATTCCGTGTATAGCTCATGTGCGTAACATATACACGAATTGTCTAGGTAACATTATATTTTCTATATGTAACGAAATTAATCATCGATCGTTATATGATTTTGTTGGAAGTCATAATCAATAATATGGATAGTGCTAGGATTTGATGGACAAGGGTTGCCCAAAGTTGTGTTTTTTTGGTTTGTTTGTATCATTTTTTAAATTAAACATCAATCCTTATGTGACATTCCGTGGGCTCCAAATAAGTTAGTCGGGGGTTTGGTTAATTTGTCACAAATCAATAGTTCTCATATTTGTATTATCAGAACATCTTGAATACCCATGCAGTGCTTGAAATTTTGGGTGTATGTATATGTGTCTGTGTATCTCTCTCTCTCTCTCTGATTTTACAAAAATAGAGTATTTTTTAATCCTCTCCATAAATTATATCGTTAACAATCCTAACCACTTTTATAATCAAAAGGCTTCATTTATTTATTTAAAGGATTTAGGTACATCTAGTAACTTAAAGTATTTTTTCAGGTGCTGGAGTATTTTGTGGTACATCTAACATCCTAAAATATTTTTTAAGTATTGTTTTTCTTGGTACTGGATGCAAAAAAAATATATTTTAGGGTGCTAAACAAGCTTAAAGTAAGAGTGCTAAATACATCAAAAAATACTTCATGGTACTGGACGCATTTAAAAAATACTTGAGAGTGTTGGATGCACCACACAATGCTTTAGGTTACAAGATTTATCCAAAAAAATACTTTAAGGTGTTGGATGTATTTTAACCCTTATTTAAAAAAATTACTAAACAAAAGTTGTTAATACCTAATAACCTGTAGTTAATATCTTTATAAAGGTTATGAATGACCTAAAAGAATGACATTGCTATTTGCTAATAGAAAGTTATTAATAGCTAATAAAATATAGTCAATACCCAACAAAAATTGTGAATGACTTGAAAGAGTGGCATTGCTACTTACTCAATAAAAGTTTTTAATAGCTAATCAAATGTAGTCAATACCTTCACAAAAGTTGTGAATGACTTGAAAAAGTGGCCTTGCTACTTGCCAATCGAAAGTTGTTAATAGCTTATGAAATATGGTCAACACCTATACAAAAGTTGTAAATAACCTAAAAGAATTGCATTGTTACTCACTAAATGAAAGTTGTTAATAACAAATGAAATGTAGCCAATACATTTACAAATATCATGAATGACTTGAAAGAGTGGCCTTGTTACTAGCTAAATGAAAGTTATTAATAGATGATGAAATGTAGTAAATATTTGTACAAAAGTTGTGAATAACATGAAAAACTGGCATTGTCACTTACTAAACAAAAATTATTAATAACTCATGAAATAAAGTCAAAACCTGTATAAAAGTTGTGAATGACCTGCGTTTAGTGGCATTGTTACTTGATTGATGAAACATGAGCCATATAGCTCATGTAGTCAATACATATGCGGGAAAAAAAATTGTGAATGAGTTACAAAACTAGGGAATTAACTTGTACAATTTTTTGCGCTATGATGTTGATAAAATTTGGTGGCTGAATGACCAGTGGCCACCCTTAATTTTAGCATGTAAGTAGTTCGCAGGATCAAATCCCACCTTTACTAATAACAAGCTATTGGTTAAGGTGGTAGCTACCTCATCTGCTTAAGAAGAAAAATACAAATTTGAATCCTAAAAAAAATTTGTTGAGAGGGCTACTCCTTAATCACTCTTGCTCATTAAGGATTAGTGTCAAGTCGTTATGATATCATAAAATTTGGTAGCTCAATGGCCAATGGCCACCCTAAATTTTAGCATGCAAGTGGTTTTTGGCATCAAACCCCATCTTCACCAATAACAAGCTGTTAGTTAAGGTAGTAGCAGCTTCACCTCTTTAAGGAGAAAAATACAAGTTTGAATCCTCGAAAGCATATTTGTTGGGAGAGTTATTCCTTAATCGCTTCTGACCCCTAAGAGATTAGTTTCAAGTCTAATGTGACTTAGGAATACCCTTGTTTCACTTGAAAAAAATCCCACATTTACCACCTTAAAATTTAATAACTTTTTAATTTGATTCCTATTTAATATATGCAATTTCCAACAAAATAACAAGTTGCGTAACAATAAATAAAGGGTAAAATAATATATTTATATTAAAAGTCTAATGATGTAACTCATAAATATGATAAAAAAAATTTCAGTTTGTCTTATAAATAGGATAAGAGGAGTGAAAGACTACATTTATTCCAACAAAACGCCAATATAACTCAAATATAAGACAGATTAACTAAAAATCTCTGAAATTTTGCGGATAAAATATAAGATAAATCTAACCGATTCATTGTCCCCCCATTTCTGGTCACTTGAATACTACAAATATGAAAATATCTTAAATTGATATCATCGCTAAAATTAGAGGGAATCAAGCCTTCACTTCTCACCCAAAAAATAAACATGTTTTTTTGTTGTAAGAAAAACAATACATGTCTTATTTAGTATTGAAGATTATTTTGTTTTCAATATTATATCTTCACACTAAGCTGGTTAAGAAATAATAGCTAATTTGAGTATGGAATTATCATCATTAAAAGAAACCAATATTATTCAAAATAAAATGTGCTCAGGAATTATTACTAAGCTGAATAATAATAAAGTACCTATTGGACCCAAAGAATAGTGGCTACTAATTAAAAGGCGCAAAAATGTGAGCAATGGGGAAAATATCTAACGAACATAGGAGGAGGAGGAGGAGAAGAGTGCATAGTGACGTAGTTCCCCTTCAGGTGTTGCTGAAGTAATAGACTGCGCGTAATACGAACACCGTAAGCTCAGAAATTAAAGTTCTAAACTTATAAAACATAATATAATTATTTTATCATCCAAAACTTTTACTTAATAATAATCCATTAAAATATATACAGATGCGTTGGCAAACACACACACACACACACACAGAGATGCAAGGTATCAAGGGATCGAGGTTTTTTTTTTTTCCCACGTAGGATAATTGAGTGATGACTCTAGGTGAATTATGGATGATAATGACAAAATTATAAATGATAAAAAGATCAGAAATTTTAAGGGATAAAAAGGAATTACATTCAATTTTGCATATTTAAGGGATTGAGTTTTAAGTGACAATTTCTTTAGACAAAGGTGAAATTTTGGTCTTTTAACTTTATATAATATTTTATTTTAGTACCTTAATTCTATAAATTAGTTTTTCAATCCTCTAACCCTTACATCATTAGTCAAAAAAAAAAACTAAAATGAAAAACTTCAAAAGTTAACATGTTAAGTTTAAATTTTTAAAATGACAATGTTTGTTAAAAAAAATCATTATTAAGATTAACGGTGTTGAAGTAAGGGGATCGAAAACAAATTTTTTTTTTTCAGCTTGAGTTAGAAAAACTAAATATGCACTCTTGCCTTTCCTTTATTCTATATCAACTCCCACATGCTTGCTGAATAAATAATGCACAATCTTGTGTGAACTTTGCCTCTTGCTTTCCTCTTGTTCTTTTGTGTGGTTTCGTCTTCTGTGCCTATTAACTCATTAAACCTCTTTCAAAATGAAAGAATTTTACAATCTTGCCCATATTTAAACATGTGTTTTAATGAGAAAAAGAGAGCCAAATGGTGAACAGTTGCAAATAAATATATAAAATAGATAACATTAAAAAATTGCAGTATATGATTCCTTTGATGGTGCCTTATAAATACTAAAAATAATATCAAAGGACCTCATAAAATACTCCCCTCGTTTCTGTTTATAAAAAATATTTGGGAGGGCAGCCAGTTTTGTATGTAAGAAACAATTAACTTTTGTCTAAAGCATTTATTATAAATTTTCAAGTATACCTTTATTAAAGAGAAGGGATATAGTCTCATTAATAAATGTATCAACTTGATCAATTGTTTTTAGTAAGAGCATGTATTCTAAGGTTAAAGATAATTCTACTGAAACTAAAGATACTATATGTGAGCACCTTTCTCACAATGTATTACTAGAAAAAAAGTCCTATCTATTGCATATTTAAACCTCTCATAACTAAATCTACCTAATATTAAAAAATTATAAAAGACCAAGATAAAGCTTTATCTCAAATTAAATTATCAAAACATTACAAAGTTGCTCGCCCCATTATATTATGTTTTTTTTCATTGGATTACAATCAATTTAAGTGCTCACATGCATGTACAAACATGTTAACGCTGGATTTGGATATGCAATCTCATTCAGATATTACATAATTTATATAATGCTATTAGTGGGACAGTTTACCGTTGGCTCTGAACCCATTGCGTGATTATGAATAGCCATGCACTCATATTATTATATTGATTTTTGCCGACAAGAAGACCCAAGTCAACGTACGTATGTACATGTTATGCTTTCTCCGGATCAACCATAATAATGGAGGAGCCATAAGCCAAGTTTTGATATCAGTGTGAACTGCTTTACTTTGCTACCTGTTTTCAGCATCATCGTGTTTTGAAATTTGAGGATTTTAGATGCTTTAATTGTCGTTTGATTCGCACAAAGTCGCACGCCACCAAATACCCATTTTGTAATTTCTTTGGCTGTG